GCCCCCCTTACTTTGGGGAGGTCCGCCAGCCAGGGGGACTGGTGGAGCTCATCCTCTGGCAGGGATGGCCCTGGTCCATGCTCTCCCTCCGCCGGCCCATGGCCTGGTCAATCATCTCCAGGCGAAGCGCAGGCAGCAGGCCCAGGTTCCTGGGGTCGGCCCTGGCCAGGGGGTTGTTGGCAGAGACATGCCGGGGACCACCCTGCTCCTGCACAGTCTGGTAGAAGGAGCTGTCCTCCTGGCTGTCGGCTGCCCACCCTGGTTCCTTGGCTTTGGCTCCATGGCACCTCAGCTCCTCCTGGGGCAGGTGGATGGTGGGGATGTCCCCAGGGAGGCCTCGGCGGCTCTGGGGTGAGGGGCTGCGACTTGTAACCCTGTCCCGGCTCGATGGCCGCAGGATGAGGCCCTGGAACTTGGCCAGGCTGGGGCTTCGGCTCCGGTGCCGTTTCATCTTGCCTGGGCTGGGGCTACGGGATTTGGGGGCCAGCAGGACAAGTGTGCTGTCATCCTCCTCTTCTGAACTGGTGCCTGAGCTGTCCGTGGGGCTGCTGCCCTCCTCTGACCTGGGCAGAGAGATCTGCACCCCTGCATCAGCACTGCTGGCTGATCCTCACAGGGGGCTGTGGGGCACCACAGCAGCTAGGCTCCTGCAGCCAAGCACCCCTACACCCATCCCCCCTGCCTCCCTCAGCCCCCCGCCTCTTGGCCGTGCTGACCTGGAAGGGCTCAGTCATGCCAGCAATGCTGCCGGAGGTGTTGCTGTAGTATCCGAGGATGTACTCCCCCTTCCCCTTGGGCAGGGCCTCCTCCAAGAACATCACCTGTAGCCCAGAAACAGCTGATGGGCACCAGGGCCAGCCCCACAGAGAGCTCCAGCTCCAGCCAAGAGCAGAAATCCCTGATGCCAGCACAGGGGGCCTCCCCAGGGCTCAGCACAAAGCAATAAGGAGGTGCCCTCCTGCCCCATCAGGGGCACAAAGGGTCCACTGTCCCCCTGCAATGGGGCACACATACCCAATGAGACAGCAGGGCAGCCCCCAGCTCACCTGCACACACAGTTGCTTCTCCAGGCAGCGCTCTCCATCGTCGCTCCTCGCCCAGACATAGGACACATAGTCTTTAGGATGCCGAAAGCCCACCTGTGTGCACATACATGGGAGAATGCAGGTGAGTGGGGGAACATCAGCCCTGCTCAGCAGTCTCACACCTACACCTGGCCTTAGCTCTCCTCTTCCTCAGCCCCCTCTCCTTGCACAGGGGCACCAAGAGCTGCCTTGCAGCCACCCAGGAGTGCCGAGCTTTGGACTCTGCAGGGCCCACAGAGCAGGAGGAAGAAGGAACTGCTGAATCTGAGCGTCCTGAAGCAGGGCTAAAGCCTGCCACCTGCCAGGGCCTCCCCAAAGCAGAGAGCGCAGAGCACACGCTCATGCCACGCGCCTGTGTCTGCTGGTTGGGGGTAGCTCAGAAGGGACCCCAGAGTGCTGTGCAGTGCTCCCCACTCCCTCCACCCCCAGCAGCCCCCAAGCACCTACCCGGTAGAGTCCTATCCAGTCCCAGGAGCTCAGGAGGAAGCCAGCAGCCATCTTGTACCTGACAACTGCTTGTTCAGGCCTGCTCCATTCGTCAGCCACATAAATCTCAACCGGGGGCTTGTCTGCCTTGGAAGTGAACTGTCAGAGACACATACACGGTGCGCAAGGGCATGCCAAAGAGCGCTGCCCCTGCTGCCCAGGGCACCCATGCATACACCAACAGCAGTCCCCAGTCACAGTGGCAAGACAGCTGAGCTTTCCAAACAAAAAAATACAATAAGCCGCACACACCCCACCACAGGCTGCACACGCTAGCCAGGCATCTCACCCCTGTAGCTCCAGCCTGTGTGCCCGGTGGCCCTGGACAGTGCTCACCTGCACTGCAAAGATGGCAGCTACCGGCTTGTGGTCACTGACTGTGTACTCCATGTGGCTGCAGTAGCAGAGCTGGCTCACCGACAGGATGCCCTGGCTGGGCCGGCGCCCGCCCGCACCAAGCCCAGCACTGGGAGATTTGATCTTCCAGAGGATGCGATCGGTCCAGGCAGGCTTTCGCTTCTTGGCACTGCAGGGCACAGAGGGGCATCTCTTGCCTGGCAGGGGGCAGGGGGCTCCACCCCAAACTGCCTCCCCCTGGCACTACGGCACACGCAGGCAGGGGACGTGGCTCATCTCGGCACACAGCTCAGTGTGGCTGCAGGGACAGACCTGCACTGGCACCAGCACAACAGTTGCGACCCAGCCTGCTGTCCCCAGTCCAGCCCGTGCCTGCCCCAGCATGGCCCCCCCCTCCATCCGCATGCAGCACCAACACCCACCCAGGCTCTAAGCCCCACCACTCCTGCATCCCTCAGCATGCCACCTGCTCCCAGGCCCTGCACACACTTGAGTTCTGCTCTCCTACCTGCTGTCGTACTTGTTGGTGCCCACATCAAACTTGAAGGTGGGTGGGAAATTCAGGGGTCCCTCCTGAAAGCCACTGAGGACAGGCCAGGTGCTCTTGGCAATGTTCAGCTGTGGGAAAGACAGCAGGTCAGGGACCACACCAGCCCCCATGGCCAGGCCCCTCTGCAAGCCCCCGAGACCTGCCTCCAGCACACAGTCACAGAATCACAGAATAGTAGGGGTTGGAAGCGACCTTTGTGGGTCATCTAGTCCAACCCTCCTGCCGAAGCAGGGTCACCCAGAGCAAGCTGCACAGGACCTTGTCCAGGCCGGGACTGAATA